GTAATCCAACTATTAAGCAGTTTCAGGAAGCTGCTCAGAGAGGCAACAAGTCAAGCTAACCACACCAGATCAGCAAAACTCCCCGAGATTCAGATCGAATGTCCATATAAGTGAAGAGCTGCTATGATTAACCTGAATTCCTTCAGTGTGTCTCACTCGTATCCCATATCTTCAGACAGTTTAGAGAACGTTATGAGTGCATCACAACAGATATAACCATCTATCCTTCCCAGAAGACCAGAACTGGCACTGGAATGTCGGTAAAGGGATAGTTCACTCAAAAATCATCATGTTCTTATGCGATTCCAAACCTGTTTGACTTATTTTCTTCTGTGGACCCCAAAAGATGATATTTTAAAAAATGTCCCAGTGATGTTTTTTTTTTATTATACAATTAAAGCCAATGGGGTCCAATGATGTTAGCACACCAAATGTTCTTCAAAATATCTCATTTTGTGTTTCACAGATAAAAGAATGTCTTGCAGGTTTGTAACGAATTGAGGGTAAATGACTGAATTTTCATTTTTGGGTGAGCTATCCCTTTCACGAATGCTTTTGCACTTTTCAAAAAACTTTTGTTGATCTCTCCGTTTCGCTAAGATACTTTCAAAGAAACCCCGACCATTCCACACACCAAGAGAGCAGCCCAGAGTAATTACTGGGCCCCATATTTTGATGAATTGAGCAATTATGGCCAGCTAACAGCCCTGTGGGTTTTGAATGTGTTCGAACCACCCTAACCCTCTACCACCTCTCCCTGGAGCATCATTAACACCCCTGCAATCACATAAAGGCTTTGAGGGGCCTTTTTTAATCTTAGGTTCATTCAAAAGGTCTATTTATAGCATCAAGGCATAATGCTCATTTATGTAAGCAAACGGGCACAATAGACAGCATCGTCAAGCGTTTGCTGCGCTCAATAATGATAGCTGCAATTAACAAGCCACGGAAATCATTAAGCCTGTGTGGGACTGTTGGTGGTCAGTCTGTGTGTATAAGAATCAGATGTGACTGCCAGTCCACATCAGGGTCGGTGCTGGTCTAAAGATAGATCAACCTTGTTATCTTTAGAAACACTGCTATATTGTTTTTGCGGAAAAAACCCAGATGCCATGAGATTGGACCTTTTCAACCCGCTTCCGCACCCCATTCAGACAAATATTGTTAGCTTTTTTTACAGCAGTGTCATGCTGATTTGTGGATCAGTGACATTGTTATAAATAAGTCATGAGGAACCAATTAAAAATGGAATGTACTTGTGGCTCTTCCCATCCCAGACTGGGATGTGGTGTTTGTTACAGGCGGCTCCATAAGCGTATTCAATAAGAAAAAGCATTGTTTGTCATTTTCAGAGTTTTTTCTTTAAAAATAGATGGCTGCTCTATCATTTGACAAACAACACGGCATGAATAGCATATCATCAAGTCAGCAGACACGCATTTTTTGAGTCAAAAGCTCAACATTAGCATTAATATGAAATGTATGACATTTAAAATGAGTGATACCTTGTGAAAACGCGAGCTGGTTCCTCAAAGGGACAGTTCACCCAAAATGAAAATTCTGCCCTCATATCATTCCAAACCTGCATGACTTTCTTTCTTCTGTGAAACACAAAAGAACACTAAAGAACATTGGGGTCCACAAATATTGGACCCCATCGACATTCTTCAAACTATCTTTTTTTGTGCTCTACAGAAAACAGAAAGTCATGCAGGTTTGGAACAACTTGAGGGTGAGTAAATGATGACAGAATTTACATTTTTGGGCAAACTATCCTTTTAAGTAGATTTTAAGGGAATACTTGACTTAGTTTGGATGCATACCATGATAAAGTGTTCATTTGATATTAAATCGCTGTCTCTACAGTTTCCCGTTGCTTGGCGGGACTGAAGATGTTTAAGTAGCTCCATTCAATAGCTGTTAATAGGGGCATCATTTCCTCCTTTCATATCAGTAGCACAGCACCGAGAGCCTCCTGCAGCAGCGCGCAGTCAGAGTGTTAATACTCCACAGCTGCAGCGCATGTGTTCCCCCTTAAGATGACTCTCCCTCCCTCCCTCAGACCTCCGCTAACACCTACCTGAGTGCTTTTTAAAAGCACTCCTTCGAAACAGTAGTCTGAGTGGAGCCATTTGAGGTGACATCCACTGTACATAATATATACTGCAAGCGTTGCGGTGCATATCTTAAAAAGGAAACCCATGAACGGACAGTCTCGAGCGTGACGGGTTTAATTATGCAAACAATTCAAAACCGAAAATGACCGAAAAAGTACTTTTTATCCATTTAAATTCATAGTGGAGGCATGGATTTAGATATTAAAGTCCCACTTTACAATATCATAAATTAATGCATTATTAAACACTATATAATGCTTCAGATCAATTATATTAAATTCAGTTATAATGAATATTTGGATTATACTTTAAAATCAGGTTCAGTTTTTAAGTTAATGCATTAGGTTAGGCATTAAAATGAACACCAGCAGATTACAGCATCTAGATTTATGTTAATTTATAAATACACTATTCATTAATTCATATTTGTAATACATGAACAATTGTTAATGTATACAATTTCAAAAGGTAAAAATATCTCTGTAGAAATTACTATTAACTAAGATAAATAAATACTACTAGATAAATAAATTGTTCATTGTTAATTCATTATAACATGTAATGCATTACTTAATATTAATACATTTAACATTACTATAAAATGTTAATAGTATATCTGAAAATATGAAAAGAAATAACTATATAT